AAATTGTGATATTTACACCGTTCTCCCGATTTTCAAAAATGAGGTGTTAAATGAAAGGGCTTGGCCTATAGATTTGTAGCAAGGATATATTTTTTACAGGGTTGCCACCTGCGTTTAAAATTATGGTATTTACACCGTTCTCCCGATTTTCAAAAATGAGGTGTCAAATGAAAAGGTTCGGCCTCTATGTGTAAAATAAGGTTTTATTTTTTAAATATTGTTTGAAATTTCATATTAAAGAAATATTTATTTCCGCACTTACATCAATGTATTCGTAAATATGTATTTAAATATGTATGTATGTACATGAAATTACTTAAATTAAAACTCATAAAGATAATTCATATTTTATGTACATGAGTCTGTATATTTATTAATTTCTGCACTTGAATTTGTATACGAACATACATACAAAGCTGATTAAAACAAATATTTTTGCTTAGTTGCTATCTTCAACATCTAGTGTTGAAAATTTTAGGAGCTCAAAGTTTAGTTTTGTAATTAATAAATTTGACAGCGATTTCTTTGAAAGTTTTGTTCGCAGTTTAGTTAATATTGTTGAAAGTGCACTGAACGCTCTTTCAACAGAGACTTGTGTTGCAGGTATGGCTAGTACAACTTCCATTAATTGTAACATATCGGCATCATTCCGATATAATTTTCGAAAATTGTCCAAAATATTGCTATCAAATGGCTCCATTTCCCTATCGCAAAGTTTAGCTAGTCTTTCCTTAAAGGCCATTTCTCCTCTTTGTGGTGTTGGACCTTGTGCATTTCTCATTGCGTTTACGTGAAGTGTCAGTATGTCATATATGCCTTTCGATGTGGAGGGAAGTTAATCTTGGGGAAGCGACTGGGTTGCAAGATCTGGAGAACTGTTGCCGTACTGGTCTTCTGATGGCTTGCCAATTTTATTTATCATATCACGTGTCCTAATTAAATTATCCTTCAAATAAAGGAAAAATAGCAAAATCAAAATATTAATAACCAATATTCAAATTAAGATATAAAAAAATATATCAAAATCAAAATATTTATAATTACCACAGCAGCTTGCTTTTGATCATAGCTTAGAAGAGGGGTGTTGTCGAAATTAAAGCGCGGATCCATATAAAGTGCAGCAATGAATGCATTATTTCCCATAAGTGTATCTTTCCTTTTCTTCATTGCATTTAGAAGAGCTTCCGCATATGAATTGGTAGACACTAACTTTTTAAGCTCCAATTCACATGTTAGCCAATCTCTAAAAAAGTCTCCAATAATATATTGCTCGTGTTGCAGTTTTAGAGTGCATTTAGCTATTGGATGAAAAGCAGCTAGGAAATTGTGTACAAATATACAGTTGACGTTAATATGTGACAGATTATCTATGTAATCTCTTATACTGATTATGGAGTTTATCATATCATAGGTCGAGTTCCATCTAGTTGCATTGTCAAGGCATGGCAAACTAATTTCGACATTACCCGATCTTACCGATGTCCGTAATTTCTTTACAATGTTTCGGCATTCTTTAATGTCCCCTTCTATTGTTTTCAAAACATCATAGGCTGCTAACTTTATTGTATGTGCGGCACAACGAACAACAGAGAAAACAGAAGCAATTTGCGACTGGATACTGTTTGATTCAGCATAATCCGTTTCAATGTCCTCGTCATTAGAAAAGTTGTCCTGTTGCATTTCTTGTAACAATTTGGACATTCTGACAACATTTGCACCGTTATCAGTGGTGCTAGAGTAAATTTGGTTTATGCTGATACCGTATTCAGTAAGGCATTTTAATATTTCCTCTTTCAGATTTTCAGCGGTGTGTCGTTTCGTAGTTTCAATCATGCCTGAAAAATATATGAACGAACGCAAAGTTAAGTAAATATAAAGCATATATATGGGTACATATATAGTATGTATATACAACAAAATTTCATTACTTACCTATGGTATTTATATGTATTTTGTAATCCCTAATGTATTGTAAATTAACGCCTAGTACACTTCGTTCCATTCGAGTTGCAATATCGATTTTTAATGAAACCATTCTATTTTTTACCAATTGAGCAATTTTTTCTTTGATTTGTTTACTTGCTTTATCCAGAATAGTTACTATATTCTTCGAATTTAAATTGGTTTGAAATATTTGCTCATATGGCTCTATAAGCTTTTTAAAATACTCCTCGTCATCAAATATTCTGAAAGGAATATTTTTTTTAGTTATCAATCCCATGCAGCATCTTAAAAATCCAGCTTTATTTAATGAACAGTTTAATTTGGTAACAGTTTTTCGTTGTATTTTACTAATAATTTCACTACCACTTCCATCACTATTATCCATTATGTCAGTTTTGTGTACAAGTTTGTAATGCCGTCTAATATTTGCTGCTGACTTTCCACTTAATTCACGTTTGCAAGTTTGTATGATGCATTTGCTTTTCTTAGTGCTTTCTTCATACTTCACATATCTTTCTACATTAAATTCCCTTTTTCCCATTTTTATCCAGTTATTTTTTTAATATTATAATCTTCTTTTACAAAAAACTGCTTACTACACCACTCTTCTGCGCCTGTCTGATGCAGCACATATATTGTATGTGCCTTATATACGCGAGTAATAATTAATAAGCCTCTGTTTTTTACTTCTACCTACCTACTCTATATATATTAGACAAATCTATAGACTTGCTGAAATGTGCTGACCTGTAACAAAAATGAAAGCATCTTCGTTAAATGATGATCGTTAGTATTTCCCACAAATCTTTAAGGAATTCTATAAAGACTCGTTGTAATGTGCATACCACTAACAATAATGGAATGCATTCTCAAGAAATTATGGTCGTTAGTATTTCTCAGAAATCTTTATAGAAAAACATCATTCAACAGCAATATTTGCGGTTCTGCCTGCAGATGAGAATAGCCCTCACAATTATTGCAAGTGTGTAGAAATATTT